TCTATCTATCTATCTATCTATCTATCTATCTATCTATCTATCTATCTTATTTCCTACACAGTATTCTGCCTGCATGTGTGCCTGCATGCCAGAAGAGGGCACCAGATCTGACTATAGATAATTATGAGCCACCATGTGGTTGCTGGGAATTGAACTCAGGAACTTGGAAGACCAGCCAGTGCTTTTAACCTCTGAGCCATCTCTCTAGTCCCACCTGTTTGCTTTCTAAAGAGAGAGAAAGCAGAACATGGAGGTGGTTAGGTGGGGAGGTGAAAGGGATCTGGGAGGAATTGGGGAATGGGAAATCACAATCAGGATATAGTTTATGGAAAAAACTTTTTCAATATAAAATCAAATGGAAATGGAATTTTTATATTAATGATGGTTTTCAAAATACTTCTGCATATATTTTATCTTATTGAATTCTGTGAGAAATGTCATAAGTGTCTGAATTTTAGAAATAGAGAAGCTAATTGGCTGATCAAGAAGATACATTGCAGCGCTGGAGAGTGACTTCAGGTAACTTACCCCTAAGGGCAATCTCATCTGAGAAGTGTGCCAAATGAGTAAAGGCTGAATGCACCATGGCATTGGAGAAAAGGCTCAGTTCTGATCACTGAGGGTGCCTTAGGGGAGTGTCATTTGAACATAATCTTAGATTCTTAAATTGATTTCCACTGACCAGGGCATTTCAAAAAGCAATCAAAACACAGAATAAATGCACAGATGAAAGCCAGCCAACATGTTTATGGGAGCCTGGCATTCAGGACACAGAAACAATCTGGAGAAACAGTGGCAGGAAATGAAGCTAGAAATGTATCAGCAGGCACTGATGGGTTCTTAGGGCTTTGTTTGTTAGCATTTTCCTGAAGGCAGTAAGGGCTGTGGAAACCGAGCATTGTTGATCCTTCTAGAATTTCTTTCTGGTGAAGTTGTGATTGGTGGAATATTGACTTCATAAAGATGGGTGTGTGTACTGTAGAATGGACCAAGAGAAAGCAGGTAATAAGATGAACTCACAGGTGGCTGTGTCTATACTTTAGGAAAGTGTGCATAGAGCCAACAGGATAGTCCCCATTCCTGGAGCACAGACCTTACTTCCTGCCTCACAGGCTTTAGTTAGTAGTAAATAATTTTCCTCAATTGCTTTTGATTAACTCAGCATGTTAAATAAACACTTCCGGGGCTGGAGAGATGGCTCAGAGGTTAAGAACACTGGCAGTCTTTCCAAAGGTCCTGCATTCGATTGCCAGCAACCACATGGTGGCTCACAACCATCTGTGGTGAGATCTGGTGCCCTCTTCTGCCGTGTAGGCATACATACAGGCAGAATACTGTATAAAGAAATAAATCTTTAAATAAATAAATACGTCGATTCCTCCAATGCCTATTCTATTGTTACTTCCTCATGAAGTCTTAGAAACATCTTTATTCTCATTGTATGTTGGAACTTGAATTCCCTTTAGATGTTGTGTGCTGAGTGCTTGTGCATTCCAAATAAGAAAAATCTATTACCTTCATTGGTATAGTATCCTACCTTTCTAGGGGTAAAAATCTCCAAGGTCCCACTCTTCTAGACTGCAATCCCACAGGCACTAAACCTTCCATGTTTTATAACTTCCTCTGCCATCACTTTGTCATATACCCACAGACTATGTGCTTAAGTAATCAGTGTTAATTGAACAAAGAAGCGTCCCTTCCTCAAGGGAAACCTTCCAGGGAAACACTTTCTGGCCTCAAGAATTTTGAAAATGAGGGAGCTCAGGGTGGCATTTGAAAGACATTCACAGGAAGTGACAGAGTCCATCTCAGTCTTAATTGCAAGACTTAAAGGAAATGCATAATAGTAAGACCTTCCCTATATCCAGCACAGCTACCCATGAATGCCCAGAAGTCAGGTCTCTACTTGTTGAGTTTCCATCTCTTCTGTGACCTGCATGCAACTGGGAAGCAGGCCAAGTGCTGGCAGGGCTGGTCCTGTGAACAAAGTGACTCATCTGCCTTCTCAGGCTGGAAACCTGTTGGCCCACTTGGAGTGGCATTCTTTTTCAATATACTGAAGTACTGTGAAAACCAAGCCCTCTCTCAACTTAGACTATTTGTTTTATCTTTAAAAAATGTTTTTAATTTTATTTATGTGTGAGTGTTTAGTTTGAATATATTTTTGTGCACCACATGCTTGCCTGGTGCCTTTGGAGGCCAGAATTACACGTGTGTCTCTGTGTGTGCCGGTGTCTATGGGGGCTAGAAGAGGGTATTGGGTCTCCTGGAGCTAGAGCACAGGTCACTAGGAGCTACCTGATGTAGGTGCTGGGAACTGAACATGGGTCCATGCGAAGAGCAGCAAAGACTCTTAACTGTTTAAGCAACCTCTCCATCACCCACAGAAGTTGAAAGACACTTTTCAAATATTTGAATTAGCATACATTAATCATAATAACAAGGGATTACACTATGATATTTATTTATGTAGTTTATAATTTTTATGTTCACTTCCCTTCCCCAATTAGCCTTCTTTCTACTTCAATATATTTTGAGTGTGTGCTCTCTCCCGCCCCCGTGTGTGCTCATGTGTATGTTGTCTACTGAGGTTTATTAGGGCTGTTTTCAGGAGAATGGGGGCAATTGTATATAGGCACATAGATACCTTACCAATGGCTATATTACTGAGAAAAAGCAGACAGCAGCTTTAATTAGCTATTGAGCACACCTTCAGAGTGACTTTTCCAGTTGTCTTTTTACCAGAAAAAAAAAAAAAAAAAGACTTCATGATAACTGTCACTTTCTTAAAGATGTGGATTGAGGACATGTGATGGTTAATCTCAGTTGTCAACTGGATGAGATCTAGGCTCAGCTGTGAGATAGGCCTCACCCATGCCTGTGGAGGATTATCTTGATTAAGTTAATTGAGGTCGGAAGACCTGCCTCTCTGGATGGCATCATTTCTTATGCTCAGAGCATGAATGGTTAATAGGAGAAAGAAAACTGAGCACAAGTTTTCATTGCTTTCTTCTTCCTGACTCTGATGTAAGTGACCAGCTGCTTCAAGCTCCTTCTGCCTTCACTGAATCATGATAGGCTATGTTGTACTTTTAGCCTAAATAAGCCCTGTCTCCACTAAGTTGCTTTATTTGGTGTTTTGTCACAACAGGAACGAAACTGGACAGATATTGGGGTGAAATAATTTTTGGTTTAGAAACCCAAATTTCATGTACTTTTAGCAATGAGTTTCAGAAGCAGGACCTAGTTCAGTCATAGGATGTCCCAGTACTGAATAGCACAATCTTCCATAGAGTGACAGTGTCATCATTAAGCTAATGATTATTTGTATGAGAAACAGAATTTTGCATACTGTTATCTGAGCTTAGTGAACACTTTTCTAGGAACATGTTTGTGGTTCATATTTCCATTTCAGTTGTAAATCAGGCCAACTCAACAGGGTTAAACAGAAATAACGTTAACACAGTGTAAGAGTAGCAGTTATGTTGCCATACAAGAAAGGACTCAAATCTGGCTTTTCTTACATCCTGGTTTTCTTTCTGAAAATAATGCAGCCCTCCTTTTACACC